ATTTTCAATGATCCTGCTATTGACTGTACTGTATCTCAAATACTGTGCTTTTTTCAGTCTTTCAAGACTACTGAAAGGAGTAGTTTGTATATAGGGAAGAACTGAGATCCAAAGACAGGTGGTACCCACTGTTAGCTGTAGGAATTAACTCTGTGGGGTAGGAGAGTCAGATCCAAACTCATGACTCATGCACAAAAGAGAAAATCCCATCACTTAGATGAACATAAGAGTAGGTTATTTGTGTTGCTCAGCATTATGTGTTTAACTTAAGTACTTTGTGAACTCCTTGTAGAAGTCTCTTATAAAGGTCTTCACGCAGGGGTCAAAGGTCTGTACCATATTCCTCCAGCCCACCCTTCCCCATCCTGTTTCCGACAGTGGCCGTTAATGGATGGCCAGGGAGAGAGTTTAAGGATGGGACAGGTATGTTTGGGATCTTACCACCTTAGTTACTTGCAGAAAGACAAAATACCATGAAATCTTCTACAGGTAAAAGAACTCAATAATTAATTTCCTCTCTTCTTATGTGAGACCAAACAAGCCAATAGGCTTATGTCTAAGAGAGTGTGTCTGTATTAATTTTGGAGGAGTACATCTGTGGTCTGAGGAGTGGGTGATAATAGCTTGTATGTGTGCAGAGTGTGGCATCTCTGTTCAAACGCAGGTGTATAGGAATTTCTGTATGACTGTTCTCTTTTGAATTCTGCTGAAAGAGGTTTGTGGATAATACTAGTTTCAACAGAAATGATTATTAGAATAGTTTATGAAGTAATTAGTGAACATGAGTCCTAACCAGTGCCACAGGATGCAGTTTACTGCGTTTATATATGAAGTCATCTCGTAGACTGTTAAAATTTAGAAAAATACTAAATTCATGTCTGTTGTTTTTGTATTTTTTACTATCTAGCCTCCACTGAGAAGAAAATTGATATTGAAGCCATCAAGGAAAAGGTAAAGAATGCAAAGAAGAAAAAATTAGGAGCACTTCCTGTGGAAGAAGTCAAGTTAAAAATGGCAGCAGATGAAAAGAAAAAAAAAAAAAAGAAGTAATTCACCACCGGAGATGCTCGCTTTTCTCCTAAATCAATGAACATTTTCACACTTGGAAGATTCAAAACTTCTTGCTGTCGGTATAATCTGAACAAGAAAAGACTAGGAAGGTCATTCTCTTTTCATAAGTACAGTTTAATTAGTGGACCTAAAGCAGCTGTGCAGAACTGCCAAGACTGGTGAAGAAAATCTGCGCTGCTGTGTTGTTTGAGAAAGTAAGAGAGTGTATTTGGTTAATATCCATCTGCCTAAAGGGAAGGTCTCGTAATAGAAACATTTAGGAATTTGGTGCAGGATGTTAAACATTTGGGTCAGAACTCAGTGGGAGTTTAAGGTTATTCTTCTGTGAAAGACTACCAGGCTACGTGCAGCCTCAGTTACGGTGATAATTTTTGCAAAATGGGCAAGATTTATTACTTTATGCTTTTGTTTCTGGAAAAGGTGATTGTTTTTGTGTCTTGTCTTGGTGTTAATAAACTATTTTGATACATTGTTCTTAAATCCTTTAATTAGTCATCTGCTGTGCAACCTACATGTTGTTTTCCAGGAAACAAGCTCATGGTTTCATGGGAGAATTAGACAAACCATGATCTTAATTGAATGCCATTAATAAGCTGTAATTTATTAGCATTACCCTAGAAATCTATTAGACGGAATGTGGTACAAAACAAGTATCTTTCCACATGGAATGTGCTGAAGGGAAAGCATGAAGTCGTTACCTTTCTTTGAATATATCCTTTATTTTATTTCTAGCTTACAAGAAAGACTTAAGAAATTGTGCTTCTTTTTTCTTTTTTTTTTTTTTTGAGGTCCTTCCCCTGTTTTTAATGGAAGTTTAGAGGTTTTCAGTTTCCTGAAAATGCAAACTGTGATGTAATAAAGTTCACTGGAAGAGCAGGTATTGCTTATTTCACATATCTGAGCTTAAAGAAACAAAGGTAATGAGTAGGAGGTGGTAGAGCCACACAGTTTCCCAGTTGTGTTGGAGTGCTTTTGCCAGCTTCTAGTATTTTCAACATCTCTACGTGCAGTGGAAGTTATTATGCTAGAGCACTGCAGACTGCTGCTTTTAGGTTAGTGACCTTTTATTTGAAATTAGTGAGTGAAAACACAGCCGTTTCCTTTTTTACATATATAAATAAGAATTTTGGTTAAGTAGCCAGTATGTGTGCATTGAAAAAAATAGCTAGGATACCTGCCTTTTAGGGTAGGGGGCTACATTAGCCTTACTGTGCCTTTAGTTACATGATCATTTCTTGGCACTTAAGGAAAAAATGCCCTCTTTTAGGGACTGCTCTGTTCATAAACAGCAGTTCAATTACTTGTGGAATCAATCAGGAAAATGCTACTACAACAGATACTTCACTGAATATGATCAATAAGTCACAAACACCCATCTGGGGAACTGGTGAGCTGCTGGGTTTAGTGATACCAGCACTATGAAAAGCTTTTTAGAAACACCAACGGGTGTTTAGCAGGTGATGGTGTAAAGGGGAGACCGAAGTTCTGCACCAGCTGGGTAGTTCAGACCTCTCTTTCAGCGAAAGGACTAATTTCAACAGGAGGCACTGCAATACTGGAGTTTAGATTCCTGTTCTCCCAGTGTGATCCCACGAATGAGCTTGTCAGCCGCAGCGTCTGCAGAGCTGGAATTCAGTAAGGAGCAGTGTGATGGTAGCCAGGGAAGGAGCAGGAGTGCATTAGGGGAAGGAGAGCCCTTGGTTCTAATCTGGACTGGAGGAGGCCCCTTTCACTTTGGAGGACTGGCACAGGTTTTCCCCTGTTTGTTGTTTAAAAAGTTAAAAACAAGCCTAGGGCTGGTTGCCCTACACAGGTCTTGCAGGCTGGAATTTTGTTTCGGGAACCTGATCCAGCTGAAAGCACCCTACAAAAAAGTGTTTTCCAGCTGCATCACCTAGCTGCCTGGTTGCCTGAGTTGCAGTGCAGGAAAACATAGCTCAGCATGGTGGCAGCCTGGCCTTAAATTATATATACTTCCATGGAAGTATGCTTTTTTAATTTAGGACCCACAGCTGAAGCATCTATGTAGCTTTTGAATCAAATCCCTCTCCGTAGTAAAACTCCACAGACTTCAGGGAGTCTTGTCTGGTTGCTATGGGGTGAAAAGGCTTTGCATTGTGTTTAATGTCTTTCAGTTGCAATGGTTGACAGGTTTTAAGGATTGTTGGTTGGATGTTTACTTACTTAAACTGGAAAATCAAGAAAGCTTACTCACATTCTGGTAGGCAAGTTGAACTAAAGGATTTGTCTGCTTAAGAGTCCATATCTGAATGGTAACAGGCTGCATGGGCTCACTGTTGGAGCTTTTTACGCTTGTTTTCTGAGAGAATATGGCAATACAGTTCTAACTTTTGTATAAAAAAGTAAAGAATAGAAAATAAAGTGTATTTGGAAGGGTGAAAAAGGTTTTTTGTTTTTTGTTTTTTTTTTTTTTTTCAGAACATCTGGCAAATTATCTCCTTAAACCGATTATAGAGTTTACAGACTTGGGAAAAAAGTACCTGAAGGCTGTATTTATATGTCAGTGTTTTGTATTTATGATGTAGAATTCATGGGCGTATGCTATAAGATAAATATGGACAACTCAAAGTGATTTGATCATCCAGAGTTAAATAACACTTTTGGATGTTCTTTAAAATGAGATGCAGTATTTGTTTAGCTTTGATTTCTTGACTTTCGGGCTTTTTTGTTTGAAAGAGACAATGTTGTAAAGTTTGAGGTTTTTTTCCCCTATGCCCCAGTGATTCACAGATTTTTCAATTAAGTTTTTTCTGTGATATCTCCTTAGATCTGCTGAGGTACAGCGCTGTGAATGTTTTGAACTTTAAGGGCTCTGTGTTCATTCTGTTTACCCTCCTGGAGACCAAGCATAGATTAAACTAAGTAAGGGAGAATTCCTGCTGAGCTCATTTTCGCTCCCTGGACACAGCAGCGTACGCTTTTCCCTCTCCAGCATTTCTCTTTGTGCTAGTAGGATCTAACTGCTCGTGGCTTCAGTGGGGCAGAGACGGTGCCCGGCTCTGAGCTGGTGTGGGAGCCCTGTGCAACAGAGCGTACACAGCTGAGCCCTGCTGCCCGTGTGCCTCTTGCCATCCCCTTTTCAGATGGGACTTTGCAGCGCACGGAGCTTGAGGCTTGGGTCTTGCACAGAAGAGTGGCAAAAAGTGGGGATGAAAATAGCTGCTCTTTTTAACAGGTAGACCCATGGCCTTGCTTTTTTAATGGGGATTTTTTTTTTTTTTTTTTTTTTTAAACACCCTAATCTGCCCAGTTTGGGAGGCAGGACTGAGCTTGGTGCTCTCACAAGTAGGTCAGTGTGTACTGGGACCCTGGTCACTGGAGTGTGGAAAAGAAGCTGCTCATCTCCTGTCTGTGACTGTGATGTCTTGGCTATGGAGGCTCTGGTAGCCAACACAATACAAATATATATATATCAAGGGCAAAATTTGTAATTTTGTCCCCAGCCATATTTACGTTTTGAAATTTCAGGGAATGCTGTGTTGCTGAGATGATTCTAGTGCAAGCATAGATACGGATCGCTACGGTCCAGCTGTGAGCTTGTGCAGCTCTGCTCCTTCCAGCTTCCACTCAAGCTGAGCGACTGCGGTCGGCAGAGGACGTGCCCAGCTGAACACAGCAGCTGTCCCCGCGGCTCTCTGCCTGCTCCAGATGTGCGGGTTCCAGCAGACTCATCCCTTGGCAGCTGTCGAACCAAAGGCATAACTATGGGTACAGCATGATTTTATCTGGAGTTTTATGCCATCTTTCCCAGCATCATGTTTCTCAGCATTGTGCAGGTTGGAACTGAACGTGGGAGTTTTTTTGTGCACCAGCTTTAACTCATGTTGCTTTTGTGCGCTAGATTTAGCTCATGGGTTAAGCTTTAGCTCACGTTGAAAATACACGATTGCCATATATAGGAAGCAGGAAATAATGATTTATTATTTGAAACAATGGTCAAAAATATATATGCTCAGAAAAAAAAAGAACAGGAAAGATTGTGGTGATACATAATCATGTGTAAACACAGGTGAAACTATGTCTTGGCACAGAGGACATGTTTAAAACCAAATTCAAAGCAAAGAGGAGTGCCAGTGGCCCCAGTGCACTGCAAGACTGGGAAACGCACTGCCTGCCCCCGGATGCAAATGCAAGAGCTCACCGAGGTCCAAAAATTCTTTTTAAAAAAACCCACAAACATTTAAATGAAAAATCTCTCCAAGGCTACTCTCCATCTTGTTGGAGGAGTGTCCAAGGAAAGAGCCATATGAAGGGGGGAGGAGCGAGCTCTGCCTGGGGCCGGGGCTGGGGCCCCACTCCTCAGCTGGGCACCCTCCAGCCCTTCCTAAGAAATTGTGGTGGGCAGCTGCCTACGCCTCAGGGTGCTGCCCGGGCAGTGTGCTCCCTTACCCACCGGATCCCACTCATACCGCTCCACTTTGAAAAAATACATGGGAAATTGAAAACCAGTTGCTGGTTCTGAGCAATGAGAAAGCTGCTTATCAGCTCTCCTAGCTGCTGCCTGTGACTAAGACTATTTCTGCTCTTCTAAGTCACCTGTGGATGCAAACAATGTCTCTACCGATTTTTGCGCTGCCAGTAACTTATGTGCCGGGATGGGATGAGTAGACCCAAGTGCTCTCGTGATCTTCTGCATGTGTGTCACTCACTGGTGGGTGCTAGAGACCAGTATTTTGGTAGGAGCCAGGCAGCCAGAATTGTCAGTATAAGGAGTAACAGCCTTAAAGCAATAACAGTGATGCAGTACTCGTCACATGCAGGTCTGTCCCAGTCTGGACGCCACCTGGAATAACCTATGAACAAAACAAGTTACTTGTTTTCACGTATAAATGCACCAAGGGCAACAAATGGAAGCAGTAATTCTGGTGGTACTTACTAATGACTTTGTCCCGCTCTGCATTTTCTGGAGGGAGAAAAGAAGTGAATGTAAGCAGACTTACATGTTATAAACAATTTAAGTTTAAGCAAAAGAGAATGAAGTGTGAGCCTCACGAAGTGCTCACAAATACAGCTAAGGGAGTGGTGTTTCTTTCCAGGAAGAAGCAAAGACCCCACTGACTTTGGGAGAGCCCTGCAGTGACCTTGGGGCCTTTGCTGAGGAGTGCTTCATCACACCGTGTTGACTTTTCCTCCCACCAGTGGTTGATGCAGAGAGGACTTGCTCCCCCTAGGCATGCTTCCCAAGATCACTTTGGCTTTTGTCTAGTGCCTTGCATTTAAAATCCTCAGCCTGTAGCTAAAATTAAAGATCCCTGTGCATCTCGTTCCTGCGGTGCTGGTGGTTTATTGCCACCTTCCCACTCCATTTGTTCACCTGAGGTTGAGTTCTGGGGAAAAGTGTTGACCGTGCCCTCAACTCTCCCTGGGCAGATGTCCACAGCACAGTGCCTTGTTCTTCTTACGGGAATTGCAGGTTTCCTCCCCTCCTGACTCCATCCAGCCATTGCAAAGCCAAGTGCAGAAGAATCAGGCGGGCTGCCAGGGGTGCAGGCTGAGCACTGTGTCCCCATGAAGGGCTCTCACATGTCAGCTTGGCTCTCTCCTGGTGCTTAGGGAAAGCAGATGGTGGGGCTGATGTTCACTGGAGCGAGTGGCTTTGGCAGTGTCATGGCAGCTCTCCCCTCCCGCAGCGGCACGGAGGGGCGAGGCTCACTTGGATGTGCACCAGCTCAAGCTGCAGATCATGCACCATGGTATAACCTGGAGCCCCCAGGAGGGGACGTGTATTCCCTTCTGTGCTTCCCATTTCTGCAAGAAGTAACTTCTGGCAGTGATAATAACACCTTAAATGCAGCCACTGTCTCTGCTGTATCACACTGTCTAGCACCTGAAGAGCAGACCCCATCCCATCACTCCCTGTGGTAGAAAACAGGCTCTTTCCACCCTCCTCCCCGCCCTTTGTGCATCACTGCGCACTTGGCTTCTGACTGCAGTTTTTCAGACTATATTTAGAAACAGGAGAGCCCTGTGCTTGCCTCCTGCCAGTATCTTTTGTGTGCTCTTTCCCTTTCTACGTGTGCTTGGGGAGGAGGACTGGTTGTCTTCTACTTACGACACAGCCGGCCAGCACACGGCTCGCTGTTGCAGTCGCTGCATGCTGTTCCCGTCTTGTACGGGCGTCCTGGGTAATTCCCACTGTGAAGGAAAGTAACACTGCTCTCAAACCACCCTGGGGAGGAGAACGTTAATACCTACCTCTAATTAGTTTTTAACCTGGGTTTTGCTTCATTTGTGTTGATAGGGAGACGGTTTTTGGATGGTCTTTGTCTGAGTGCCCTGTGCCCAAGACATGCAGCAAAGCAGAAGAGGCTAACTGCATTGGGGCACTCTGTTGTTTGGGAGCCTGGAGACAGCAGTACTGCAAACCTGGGAATTAAAACAGTCTCAAAGCTGGATAATTTGTGCATGAGGAGTCTGTGGGGTTCTCAAAGATGGCTCTATTTATGGGAGCAAAAGCAAATACGATTACTGTGTATGTACATGCGTATTCAACCTTGATGAGGCATCTCTGGTGCTGGAGAATCTCTCATAGGTAGTGATTTCATCCATTTGTTGGTAAACATTTTAGGAGCGATGTGTGTCTCCCCCTGCTCTCTCCCTCTTCCAGCTCCATGAGCGGCACCAGCTACCTCTGCCCACGCTCTTGGCTCAGTATTACCTGCCCACCTCTGATACTGCACCAAACACAGCTCAGTGCTCCGCTTTGCTTGGAGCATGGCCAAAGCAAGATTTACAGCATGCTTCAAACTGCCCATAAATACACTGGGAGGGATTTTATATGCGCACAATCTCAGGAGTGCTATAAACTTTGTGGTAAAAGCTCATTACTTTCAGCAAGGTGAAGCTTTCATTGATTGGTCTAAGCTGAATAAAAACCTTTGGAGTATATTCAGTTTAGGAATTGAAATTGTGTGTGTATCTTGCTTTGACCCTTGGCAGAGGGCTGCTCTGCTGGGTGCTTGTTGAAGATGAGGGAACCCCTCTCCTTCCCTGCGTGATTCCCACTGATGCAGGGCAAGCAATCCAGTGTAATTTCAGTCGTCTGTACCATACAGATACTGGCTAAGGGACAGAAGGAGGAAGGCTTGTCTCACGTCTTTGGGACATCCAAGTATAAGGCTTAAGGGGCAGAGAGCACCTCCCAGCAGTGCTGGGAGCCTGCTTGCCTGTGTATGGGGTTCCTGCACCATCTAGCATGGTGGGTGCAGAGCGAGGGCCGAGAAGGGAAAGAAGAGGCTGCCCTGGGTGTTCAGTGGCTTTTGGCTCAAGAACCAGTAGAGGCAATGGTTGCCCAGCTCCTTTGGGCGTGGGGCTTCTAGGGACAGCGGTTTTGTTGCTTTGGCCCAGCAGCAGCTCTGTCATTTCAAGGTGTCTGGTCAGGGGTACATAGTCTTCCAAGGATGAAGCATGGGCAACAGGAATGCCAAACTTGCTTGAGTTCATGGACTGTCCTGGCCTTGGTCCAATGGAGTGTGAATGTAAAGCTTTTAAAGCTGTATTTAGACTGCAGTGGCATTAATTAGCTAGAGAAGGGTTAAAACCATCCATCCTAGCTTGATATCCTACTGACTGCATGTGAAGGACCTCTAGATAAAATTTTGCCTTGAGCAGCCCCAGCCTCACGAGCAACCCTGAGCTGCTAACACTGCAGCTGCAAACATTGCACACTTCAATATTTATCCAAACCATTACCTAGAGGCTTAATTCTGCAGATACATGTGGAAATATTTTCTGCTTTGGGCTTGCACCTTGGCAACCGTCTGGGGCCATCTTGGCACTCAGGAGCAAGGGATTACTTTTCAAATGGTCACTTTTGTATTTTCATGTCAGCATCTTATATTTTGCCCCTTCTACCAGTGCCACTGCTTTCTGGCTCCAATACATAGCCCCCATCCAGGAAAAAAAAAAAAAAAAGCTGGTTGGACAGAGGTATACCCCTTTCTCTATTTTGGGGACCATTTCCTCCCACAAAGTACATGACTAGATGAACCGATCTAATAAAGTTGCATGTTATAGGAAGGAAGGAGTAAGACCCAAACCCTGTGAAATACTTGTAATGAAAAATCTTACGCCGGCCCATAGTTGCAGATGAAGTGTGCCGCATTGGTTATGGAGGAGTATGCCACACTGGGACAGAAGTGGACAGCACAGCCAACCTTATAGCTTGTAGCCCAAACAATCTGCAAAGAAAGACAGATGGGTACACAGGTGACAAAAGTTTTGCTTCAGCATCTGACATGTTATGGAGAAGACCTGCCCTACTCTGTTTCAGGACAACAAATTGGCTGAGGAGCACTCCTTGGGCAGGTTTCATGGGGGAGAGCAGCAGTGATGGATCTTGAAATCATAGTTTGTTCTGAAAAACACCTGCTTGTTTTGCCCAGTTTACCAGATATTTGTTAAAATTACTCTGAAAAAAGGAATAACTGGCTGTAACAGTTAGTTTTCCTTCCTTGCAAAGGAGAAGGTGAAGTTTGTCTCATTTGCTTCAAGGTAATCCATTAACTTTCTATTTTTCCTGCTGGGAGAGATCAGATCAAATCTGTGCAGAAAAGGCTGAGTGATCTGCTACAGCTCCTACGAGGGCTGATTGTTCCTGTACCAAACCCAGCAGTGATGCATAGGCAAATTGCCAGAAGGCACTGCTGTTACAGGAGGAGCAGAGAGGATAAAGTCTGGGCTGCAGTCCTGCCTTTTAGCATCATGGCCATGACTAAGATAATGCAGAGGTGAGGGCATTAGATGTTGTCATCTAGTGTTGTCAACTAGATGTTGTCATCTAGTGATCCTCTGTCTACCAGAAACCATTCAGTTCAATCCAGAACCCTTTATCCAGCTCGAAGATTACAGAACAGCCAAATGCTGCAGTCCTGGAAAAATAAACCCTGTGACAGAAGCAGAGTGGAGATGAGGGTGCAGCAGTACCTGTGAGAGGTACAACAGCAGTGATTACTGACGATGTGAGAGATGTGGAGAGATCATGACAGCACAGGAGATGAAGAAACACACTGTCCTGGGTTGAGTGTTGCCTAAACCGCAACACACACATGCACCTCCACCGACTTGAAGGGGAGGCCTGGGTCTTTCTGTTTTTTCCTGTTCAGTGCCAGCTCTGGGAAGAGGGGACAATCCTCAGGCCACTGGAGGTCTTCTCAGTGCAGCAGCAGAGCAGAGGCTTCTCCCAACACCAGCCGTAGACAACTGCATCCCTGAGGATGGCGAAGGATCGAATCACAGGACCCCCCTCATCCCAGGTGGCCACCCACTGAGGCGTATGCTGGGGATGTGGTTGTGGTAACTTCAGTAATTGTACCCAGGGGAAACTTCTCTTCTCCACATCTGGGAAGGAGGGAGAGGAACGAGGGGTTCCCCAGAGGTGCAGACTCAAGGATGCCTCCCAAAGCTTGCAGACATGCAGCTCCTAGCTACAGTCACTACCACCGCTGACTCCAAGTGAAAATGATCTTATTTTCTCATTCTAGCCCAAGCAACTGCCTGAGCTGCTTCTCTACAAACACAGTAAACAGCACTGCACTTTAGTGCCAGGCGAGGTGCATTTCACTGCAATTTGCAGATGCTGACTTTTGCTGTGTCCTTGTGAGCAAGGTCAAAAAAGCAACACAATGTCACCTCTCATGGCTCTTTCAGCCAAATATATTCTCTGTGCACAAGTACCTGCACGTGTCATTCCGACACCTCACCATCTTCAGCTCGCCTCTTCAAGTCCTAAATGCATATGTGTATCTCTGTAGAAAATATTAAATATCCTCAGGTCAAAATCTAATCCCTAGAGCCACTGTTGCAAGCCATCCTCCTCTCCCATAGCCCTGGCTAGCGATTGCAGGGTTGCAGGGCAGTGACACACTTCTCCCTCACTTTGCCCTCTTTTGTTTTGAATCGTGGTTGGGAAAAATGTGCACGTGATGCTTGCAGAGCTGCAGACATCTCTTGAAGTGCCAGTATTTCCCCAGCCCTTGGCACGCAGAGGCTGCCTGCCAGAGCCAGGACCCGGCCCCATCACGCACCCACAGCCATTGCCATTGCCATTGCCTGGTCTTTGGCCACTGCTTGGCTGAATCTGACTGCCTGACAGCTGCCCTGTTTTATTCCTGGAAACAAAATACAACTGGTGCATTTAAAATAATAATTCAGTGACTCTTTTCCTCCCTAAAATGGGGACATGAGAACATCTTGTACATGCAGACAAAGTAAGACTACAGCACTTGGAGAGCAGTTCATTGAATTTTCAACAGAAATGTAGAGTTTCTGTGTCAAAATGGCAATGCTGATTTGTGATTTAGATGGAGAAATGCAATGCCTACCTGTGTGTAGTGGCCGCATACTCCTCTGCACTTATTGGTGGCATAATTGTAGGCACTGACCTCATCGTACCAAGAGGTGATGGCTGCTTGCACAGTAAAAATAGAAATAGAGCCAGTCCAGAGGTTTTCTCCAACAGGGGTGAATTTGGGGTGAGCCTGTCCTGGATCTTTGAGGTATGTATTATGTTTAAACAGGCATTTCTTTGCCCAAGCTTTCGCAGTTGTTGCCAAATCCGGATCCCAACTCTGCAAAATAAAGACAACTAAAAATCACTTTGGTATTTTAGCAATGCAGTAATACAGAGAAACTTTCAGGAGAAGCTGGGTTTCAGTAGCATATATGCTTCAAGTTCATTTGTTTTTTGCTTTTGCTGAGATTTACAGAGCTGCATGGTAAACTGGCTTGAAGGTTCATTTCTGATTTGAACTTAGTTAGTCATTAAACTCCAGGAAGTTTTTGGGGTGGTGGGTGATCCTGGCCTGCTCATTTGATGGACACCAAGAGCTGTACATCAGTAAAATACAGTGTTTGGGGTGCAGTGTTCATTTCCAGGCTGTGCTGGCCATGAGAGAATGTTAATGTCATTTAAACAGTGAATTTACAGGAAATCTGGAGACCGGGGGTATGCTTACTGTACCAATCAGACTGGAGTCTTATGCAGCCTCATGCATTAAGGCCAGTGCTTGCAGGTGAGTTCACAAGCACACTGGGATTTTTGGGATGGTTTAAACTCAACCCCTTGGTTTGCATCTTTGTGGTTGGTGGCTTCAAATGTTAGTGCTGAATTCCTATTTGTGGAATTACTCATTCACTTGCTATTCAATCCTACAGAAAGTGGTTATTTAAGCAATTGAGTTACATAAATCTCTTCTGTTTGCACTGGAGGTGGTGTTTGTTTTCACTGGGTTTTCTTGTTCACACAACATGATTAAGCAAATACCGTATTGTATCTCCTGGCAAATGCAGTACCACATGTGTGCCTGTAGTTGCAGTTACACTTTGTGTCATGTAAATCAAGTTGTTCAGCACTGCTGAACTCTTTTGGATTGAACTTTTTTAAAAAATAAACTATTTTTAAACTGTACTTTTCTATATGGATTAAAATATCTCAGTTGCTTCTGCAGACAATAGAATCGCTATAGAAATTGTTTTGAATGGATCAGTAACACTAAGGAAAGGTGGTTGTTAGATTTTATGGCTGTTTTACATAATATAACTTTTTTGTATAACATAGATAAGTTTATACAACTAATAAGTAATTAAAAATGTCAAAATCATACCAAAATACATCTACAGAGATTTGAAAATATTTTGTAACCTATGTCTTCCATTTCTTCCTGTGGCTAACATTTGTGGGGGAGAGTATTTTCCCCCTGTAATGGGTCGACCCTGGCTGGATGCCAGGTGCCCACCAAAGCTGCTCTATCACTCCCCCTCCTCAGCTGGGCAGGTCAGAGAAAATACAAAGAAAGGTTCATGGATCAAAATAAGGACAGGGGCAGATCACTCACCAAACACCATCATGGCCAAAACAGGACAAAACAGGCTCAACTTGGGGAAATTAACTTATTACCAATCAAATCAGAGCAGGATAATGTGAAATCAAACTAAATCTTAAAAACACCTTCCCCTTGCCTGTCCCTTCTTCCCAGGGTCAACTGTACTCCCAATTTCTTTACCTCCTCCTTCTGAGCAGCACAGGGGTATGGGGAATGAGGGTTGTGGTCAGTTCACCACACATTGTCTCTGCCACTCCTTCCTCCTCAGGGGGAGGACTTCTCACACTCTTTCCCTGCTCCAGCCTCGGGTCCCTCCCACAGGAGACAGTCCTCCACAAACTTCTCCAATGTGAGTCTTTCCCACGGGGTGCAGTCCTGCAGGCACAGACTGCTCCAGTGTGGGTCCCCCGCGGGGTCACAAGTCCCACCAGCCAACCTGCTCCAGCCTGGGCTCCTCTCTCCGCGGGGCCACAGGTCCTGCCAGGAGCCTGCTCCAGCGTGGGCTTCCCATGAGGTCACAGCCTCCTTTGGGCATACACCTGCTCCAGCGAGGGGTCCTCCATGGGCTGCAGGTGGGTATCTGCTCCACCGTGGACCTCCACGGGCTGCAGGGGCTCAGCCTGCCTCACCGTGGTCTTCAGCATGGGCTGCAGGGGAACCTCTGCTCTGGTGCCTGGAGCACCTCCTCCCACTTCTTCTTCACTGACCTTGGCGTCTGCAGAGTTGTTGCTCTCACATGTTCTCACCCATCTGTTCTGGATGCAGTTGCAGTTTGGGCTTTTTTCCCAGCTTCTTAAATACGTTAACCCAGAGGCACTACGGCTGTCACTGATGGGCTTGGCCTTGACCAGCAGCAGGTCCGCCTTGGATCCGGCCGGCACTGGCCCTATTGGACATAGGGGAAGCTTCTGGCAGCTTCTCACAGAAGCCACTCCTGTAGCACCCCCTGCTACCAAAACCTTGCCATGCAAACCCAATAAACCCACAAAACTAACACATAAATATTTTTCCTAGGAACTCAGTGTATCGAATATTAAAAGTAAATTTGGGGCAGTGGATCTTGTTTCAAGTGAGCAGTTGATATTTCCTTAGATGATAACTTTTAAGGCCAATGAACAAAATCTGGCACTGTATGGAAGTTATCTTCCAGTCCTAGCATTACTGCAAGTTAAAACAGAGGCTGCAGTTTACATCTTGGAAATGCTTTGTGGTCACAAGGAGAAGATCATGATGAAAGATGTACGACAGTGGTAGATGCTCCTTAGTGCTTCACAGTCTTGTTTTCACATTCTGCTTTTCAAGAGTCTGCACATCTATTTTCTCCATCATCCTACAATAGTACTACTAATAAGTTTAAAGTTCCAAAAAGGTATATGTAATAATAAGTTTAAAGGTAAATTAATAAGTTTAAATGTACTTTCCTTTTTTTGTGTGAATGCTTAAACCGGCTGACAGTTAAAAAAACAATGTGCAGAAACTGATAGTTTAGAATGATCTTTAGTTTAACTATGTTATACTCCTTATTTGCTTATGAAACTGCATTTCTGCAAAAATATTGGACTAAACTGCATGGGAAAAATGCAGAGGACCGGGAGGTTTGCATATAGATATCGTTGCTGTTTGAGAAAACAGTAATTACAATTTTTTTTCCCTCATGATCTATTTCTCAGTTTTGGTTTTATAACTCAGATGAGTTGCTTGCTGCTTCAGGGAGGGAAAATTGTATGATAAGTGGAAAGTGGTGTGAAGCAGCAGTAAGTCAGAGGAGACTGGTGTGAAGCCTTGCTGAAATTTGTGAGACTCTTTCTGCTGGTTTTGAAGAGCCTTGGAACAGACCTAAGCAATGTTTTGGGTGAATGGCATCTGTCAGCTAAAAAAATGTTGGATCAGTTTTCTCATTTTATAATAAATGTATTACAAATATAGATGGTTGGGCTTTGTTACTTGCAGTAAAAGGAGTTTCTGTCTTGTATTTTCTTTTAAAAACTGTTTTTCCAAAAGGTGGAAATGCCCTGAGTTCAGAGTCTTCATTTTTACATAGCCAGGTGGACATTTACTTACAGCAAAGAGAAAGTCCCTGTGAAATAAAGAAGTCATCTTCTTTTCCTCATTTTTGAAGTCCTAAAGGCCATTCAAAAATGAAGAAATATGATGTTTTCAATTCCAATGCTTTTACTTTCATAATAGATTTTATCATATATTTCTACTTTCTCCACATTAAATTCTTCCTGGGAGAGGTCATACCTAAGATAAGGGCTTTTGCAGTGTTTAAAAAGAAACTTACTGTGATTTAGTTTTTGTGTATTTGTAATAATCGTTGTTTGTTTGCTTGTTTCTTAAGCTGTTTTTTTTTTTTTCTTCCGATTTAATTTTTTTAATTTGTCAAAAGGAAAATATAGGCCCAATTTAAAAGGATGAATTACTGCTGTTTTAATACATCACAGCAAGATTTTCTTAGTGTAAGGCCAGTAAAGCAATCCAGAAAACAGACTCTGGAGCAATATGTAGTGGAAGTTCAGGATTCCCGGCTGAAGAAAGCTGAAGTAAAAGATACAGCTAGAAGAGAAACTAAATAGTTTCCTGTCAGACTTGCAACACAAGCTCGCTCGCTGCTCACTTGCCCCTCCTTAATGGGCACTTCTTTTTTAGTGTTCGACAACCAGAAATGACAAATGAGCTTCTGTTTTTGGAACTTTCGGCTGGAGTGTTGCTAATTACACACATGGTTATGTCCTCTTCTGGTGGTGACCATGCGAGATAGTAAGAAAGAGGAGCACAAGGAAAGAGATCAGAATCAGGTCAATTGCTGTGGTTCATCTGAGAGATCTGTGGAGATTATCCCAAGAAGAAACACGGTATCTCAACTATTACCCAGTCAAAGCACAAAAGGGGATGGATGTTGTGAGGCAGCTCCCAAGCTACTGGAATTTAACATCTCACAAATCAGAGGCGGGCTTCTCAGCCGTAAGCCCAGCTTTGTGCACACATTTACAGCTTCCTCCTTGCTGGGTTTCCTGTGTGCCACCCAGCAGTTAGACAAGTGTCACGAGCCATCTGAAATGAGAGGTGGCCACTTTTGGGTATATTTTGAGTCATGACAGGTTGTTTTATGCGCAGTGGCTGCAGATATTGCCCCTTGATGTGGCCAGGGAGAAGACAGCGAGCAGACGAGGGGCCTGATGCCTCCAGTGACCGCTCCTGCTGCACTTGTTGCTTTTTGGCTTCCCCTGCAGCCTCAGCACCTCGGAACAGCTGCTCTGTTGTCTCAGTCTGGAAGAGCCTTGTGAAGAAAGCTTAGAGAAAGCTCTCCAACATAGTTTGGCAACGGTCTCTGACCTTGTCAACTCAAGTATAAAAAGTTGTGCTTAAGCCTGCACATAAATTATACCCTGGGCTGTTGAGCTGTGGTGCCTTGGAACGAGGAGGCTTTTCACAGCACAGAACAACAGCTTTAGGTTCAGGGTTGAAAGCTTGGGTTTCAAATGAGGAAATTAAGCCAGGCAAAACTATGTACATACGTGATTGTACAGAGCCATATGATAATCAGAGCCTTTTCCTCTCCTTTAAAAAGAGGTAGCTCTTATGTCACGAGGAGGCTGTTTTTTTTTTTGTTGTTTTGTTTTGGTTTTTTTTTTTGCATTTGATCACAAAAACAATCTGTGAATCATAAACACCATCACAATGCTACGCGCTTGCACGTAAGTCATGAAGATCCCCTTACCATGTAGAGCATGTTGCTGGCTGGTGGATTCACTCCAGACCGGAATCTGTTATGGGCTTGCACACATTCCTCAATAAATTTTGGATCTCCAACATCAGGCAGTGCTGGTGGTTCGTAAGAGTCAGAGGAACAACAGAAGTGCAGCAAAGCCAGCACACAAGCAGAAAATCTGCTTGTCATGATTCTCAGCCTCTGGTCTTCCAGCTTTAAGAGCAAACTGCTTCAGCTGCACGAGGTGCTTTTAGCTTCACCAGCAGCATTTTGCTTGGAAGGCTTGTGGGCCGGACTTATCTTACCCATGGTAATTGAGTATGGCATTGGTCACAGGAAATGAGTCATATTTCAGGAGCGTTGCTATGAGAATAAGGAAATCAAGCTACAAGTTCGCATCAGAGCTGTGGCAGCTTTGTCTCTCTCTTTTTCTGTTCTTTCTTTAATTGTTGTGGGCAAGATTCTTCTCCCCTGTTCTTTGGGCTCCTTTGTTTTTCTTTCTTTGGCCTCCACCATCCCTTCCATAGCAATCACTATGGATTGCAGTAAAGTTTGGGATACATTTTCTGGTTTTCATGAAAATAGCATTGCTGTTAAGGTTGTTACACTGAGAAAAATGCTGTGAGAAATAATTGATTTGAACTATGACTTTTACAACAGTATGAACAGTCGCTTTCTACATTGAATTACTGGACAGGGTAAATTTGGCTGAGAACTGCAATTTAAACATGCTGCAGTTATTGATGGGCTTCTCCTGTGATCACACACTTGTGCTATGTGTTGCTATCAATTTCTCCTCCTGAGCTTTAGCAGTTTGTTATTCATTTCCTGCAACCCTGCTCAATGTGTGTGAAAAAAGGAGGTGGGAAAAAAAACAAACAAAACCCTCAAGCGATGCAAAGGCTCACCAAACACAATGGCAGACTGACACCCAGACAGTCTCTGCACAACGGCCACCCTGGAAGCCAGCCAGCCCCCCACCTTTCTTCTTCCTCTACCCCCTTTTTTTTTTGGTCAGTTTAGGTCAGCTGTCTCAGCTGTCCCCCCTCCCAACCACTTGCCCATCCCCAGCCTACTTGCAGTTGCTACGTATAAAAGATGGCATCAGACAAGAACTGACAGTTGTGAAATTAAATATGTATCATCTTACATGTTGACATTTTGCAGCATACAAGAGCCCAAACATTTTGGGCTCATTTTTATTCTGTGGGATGTCATGCTCCTTCAGAGCCACAGCATGGCTCAGAATTTGAATCACTGTGTTCTCAAAACATGAGGACTAATATAAAGGAGAAGAAACACCTTTAAATATTGATAGCACAGTTATGCATTGCTAGTATCAGCCAGTATCACTTACCTTGAAAGACAGGTTTGTTTCCCTTACTAACAAATTATACAGGAACAATAGGGGTTGAAACCTAAATGCCTCTAAAAGCAAACTGAATCCCTCAATGATTTTGGCTTTTTTAATGAGGCTGAGATCTTCCTTTTCTGAACCGGAATCTGTCCTGGGCCCATTTAATATTCTCTTTCTTGTTTTATCTCCCTGCTCCCTCCCTTCCCCTGACTGCAAACTCAGGATGGCTGTCATCTACTCTGCATTTCAGATTTTGTCACCATCTCGCATCCTAAAATTTAGCTCTCCCCATTGACACCCCATCTTAATCCTTGCTCTATCAACCTTCCCTGGTATTCTTCCAGCTATGGAGGACAAAGCTTAACTCTGAGAGGAGAAGAACCCAACAGCACGACTGACAATAGAGTAACTTTAATGGAGACTGATACACATAGGGTAAATACAGTAAAGGACAAGTTTCACTCCTGTTCATAAAAAGTAAAACATGCAGTTAAATCTCCATTATCTGGGGAAAATGGTATCTGGGATAATTGAAAGTTAAAGGAGATGAGTTACTGTTTTTTTTCGATACAGTGTGCCTCTTCAGACGTCTTTGTGGTGCCCCAGGTTTCCAGGAAGCTTGTAAGCATATATAGTAATATATAGTCTATGTGGTCCTTCTAACAATCTACCCCTGAGCCAGAGCTAAGAGGCTTGTACAGACATAGAAGCATGTTGCAGCTACTGCCAATAAATTAAACCAACTCTATGCACAGCCACTTATATCTTGTCTTGAGTGAAGAAGCAGACTTATCTATGCTGGATAAACATCAAAAGGATAATGGAGAGATGACCTAGTGTTTAAATGTGTGCAATTCTCTGAGAGTAATACAGCAGTAGGATCAGTATTGGTATCTTAATTGATCACTACTCACAAAAAAATGTGTGTGGATACCACCGTTGTACTAAGAGAACAGCACCAGTACTCAGTACCAAAAACAGTGGCCTTAAAATTGACACACTAAGACAGTACTGGTCACAAGAGGGACGTGGATGCTCAGCTGGTGGGACGTAGGGCGGCGCAGGAGGCCTGGAGGGACGGGGCTGCGGTGGCTGGGGCCGTGTATCCCAGTCCGGATACCAGTAGGAATAACCTAAAAAACAGTGAAGAAACATGTTAAGGCTGATCAAACTTAGCCATGCTTATAGGAAAGCAATTAAGAACAATTTGATACGTACTTATCAGCTTCTCACGCTCTGTGTTTTCTGTAAAGAGATCAGAAGAGGAAATAAATGTAAGTATCATTCAGTGGTGGTTCTTAATGTAAAGAGGTAAGCAATTGCTGATGCCCAGATGATTGCACTGATGATGCCAGTCAGTGCCTAAAACATCCTGTAAGGGGGAAGCAGGCCAGTAAAAGCAGGTTCCCAACTGGTGTGGGGCTCATATTGATATACTGTACCAAAATAAAAACTGTAAACTTAAGAATTTAGAGACAATTTTCTGATTGCCTAATCAAACCAGAATATTACAGACATTGTCTCAGCAAACTAAGATATTATAGACACTGCTTTAAGACAGCAAGGTGTAAAAATAGCCTTAACTAAGAAAATAAAGGAACTTGTGATCAGAAAAAGGAACTTGTCAAGAAACCACAGATTATGGAGTAAGAAGACCAGTAAGGGTGTACTGCACATGCCCAGGATGTCCCTGAAGACCACCAAGGACCCCTGAAGAAAACCCCAGAGGACTGCACGTGCATGTGTAATTAGTATACAGATATTATAATGAGTTCCAATTAATAGAATGCATATGTATGTAACAGGATAATATAAACCTTGCTTGATGAGATGTTTGGTGTGCATGCTTTTGAGATAGATGTCTGTGTTGCATCCAGCACTGCAGTGCTGCAGTAAAGAATGCCTGCCTTCTGAAACTTCAAAACTTCAAATTAAGTCTTGGAGGGTTTTCTTGACTGATTTTACGGTATCAATATTTTTTATTGAATTGAAAGAGAAGCAGAAAAGAAGCAGCTGTATTAGGAAGAATTTGTGTCATGGGGAGGAGGGAATAGCAAATAAAAACAAAACATGGAATTTATTTTAAAATGATACACAAACTAAATTTAGGTAGTTACAGACAGACAAATATAACTACCGAATTTATCACAGAAGTACACTTTTACTAAGAGCTTTGATGCATTTGCAGGATTGCCCGTATGCATCCAATTGGAATTGCTGATTTGCCCTTTAGGAGAATATGGGTTGTAGGATCTAGCACTTAATTTTTAAAAGCTCTCTTTCTCCTCTCTGTCCCCCTAGTCTTTGAGATGTTTCTAGTTTTCCTGTGATGCATCAGTCTGAGACTTCAAGATGAGTCAGCCAGGGTATCACAGACGGAAATAAGAGTACCAAATGCTCAATTATTTCTACAGCTGAAGCTATCTAGCACCTGGCTAGTAGAAACCGTCCCTATTAAACCTCTGTATAAAATTCATATTTGATTTAAGACATTGTTGCATATCTTTTAATCTCTGTTTATTTAAAACACTTTCTGACTATTTTGGGACTAGGTGTAATGACATAAAGGTACACAGCTGCAAACTTGTGGAAAAACAAGCTCTCGCTGCTGTATTTCAGAAAATTGTGGAAGTTAGAAATAAGTGTGCTTTTCAATATAGTGTTATTACTGGTTCAGAACTATAGTTGTCTGGAAAATGTGATAGGACATACTAAACAAGCAAGAAAACAGAAGTTAAATATACTATTTCTGCTAAGAAAGAAGAACCAGATGGGGAATATTTGTTGAGGCTTAAATTTTAGATTTGATTTCCTGATCAGATAAAAGGTGGAAAGCAGTCTGATACTTCTCTTCAGCAGAAACTCTAGCTGCTACTTCTGAGACATTTCAACAGCAAAGTATTTAAATTAATTCCTTCTTATACTATTCTTACCAAGGTGTGGTACTGTTGTTGTGCTGTGGGCTACAGATCCACTATGTACTTAGTGCAAATTGACTCGTTATATTTCTACTGATAATTATGCCACTTTTATTTCTGTGTAATTTTCTTAGCTGATCGCTTTGGTCTTACCACAGAGCTTGTCTACACATTTCTCATTACTGCATCCACTGCATGGTCGTCCCGCTATATATGGTTTTCTTGGGTAATTCCCCCTGCAAAGCAGAACAACAATATTTTGTTAGCTCAGTTGTTTGAAAAGCAATTTAAATACATGGTTTCATCAGATTATTAGAATAATTTGTCATGAAAAGTTATTGGGGGGGAGAGGGTAGAAAATCCCTTTATCCAAAAACTGATCATTGAAATTGTTTGAAATTCCTTTTATATTAGATTAAAGCTCTCACTGACATTGGGAGCAGCTACCTGGTGACTCTCGCCTCTTAAAGTTAATAAGACTTCTCAGGCAATACTGTATTATTCAGTGTAAGTGTACAAGAATCTGCCTCTAGTCCCTCATTACCCACCTCTACTATAAAAACAAATCTGTGAAAGGTAAGTTCAGAAATTGTAAGGTGTGAGATAAACTAGAGGACTGTGTTCCTTTTATTTCTTCAGTTAAAATGTCTTGTTTGAATTTTGGGTGGGGCTATATACAGATGTAATCTTTCTCAAGTGGAAAGCTTGCACCTTCCCCTCTTTTTCTACAGAGACTGTAGTCAAAACAGATTTTACTCCTCCATCTTGGTTACGGTCAGTGCTTTCAGCTATGATCTGGTTGTCTTCTATTTTAGAAAGGGATTTTCTGCAGCTCCGGCTATGTTCATCAGCTTCTGCTCTCAATGGCCAGGGGAAGTTTCCCTTGGACTGATGACATATAGATGTAGCTTCTTCTGAAATGTGTTACAACTGCTCCCATCATTGTTGGCATCTGATACCAGATCTGTTACAGGATATTTAAAAAATTAAAAAA